ATAAAAGCAACTTATTTTCTCTTTTCAGATGTACAAAGAGCAAAATGATTTTTAAAAGACTAATGCTGGGAGGGGTTCAGAGAAATGGGCACTGCCGTGGAGGTAGTAAAAATTGGGATTTTTTTAAAAAGAATAATTTGATAATCTTTACCAAAATATATAATAGAAAATCCTCTAAGCAAACCCACTGTAAGATATGCTTAAGGAGCTAACTTCAAAAATGTTTATCTCAGAATCATTTGTTGTATATAACACTGAAATTAATCTAAATTTCCATTATTGGGCCAGGAAGATGGCTCAGTAGAACAGGCACTTCCCTGGCAAGCGCAAGGGCCTGAGTTCAATTCCCGGTTCCGCAAAAATTAATAAATAAATAATCCATTACTAGTATATATGCCAGGATACATATATAAGACAGAATGCTACAAGCAACTACAAACACCTAGTGGAGGCAGATAAAGGGTGGTGTACAGCATAGCACAGAATATTACCCAGCCCTAAAACACGTAGGCAATTCTGACAGGCTTCACCATGGATAAACCTTAAGGACATTATGCTAAGCAAAGTATGCTAGGTGCAAAATGACATGTACATGTATGGGGCCCTATATTAGTCAAATTCAGAGACAGAAAGTAGAATGGTGGTTGCCAGGGGGTGGGGAGAAAGGAACTGGGAGGTTTTTAATAGCTTAGTTTCAGCCTGGGAAGATAGAAAAGTTCTAGATAAATAGGATCTCAAGTCCGCCTCTTGTACAGCAATTAACCACTAAGAAGAATATATGCAGTGTGTTATTTGTTGAAACTGTACTTCCGATTTGATTTGAAACTGTCTCATTGCTGTTTATCAATAAAATTTTGGAAAAAAAAAAAAAGAAAAGTTCTAGAGATGGATGATGGTAATGGCTGAAAATAATGTGAATGCACTTGTGCCACTGAACTGTACATTTAAAAATAGTTAAAATGATACATTCTAAAAATAAAAATCTGGTTTGGGGGCCAGGGAGATAGCTCAGTAGAGTAAGTGCTTGCCTGGCAAGTGCAAGCAGCTGAGTTCAATCCCCAGTTCCATTAAAAAAAAAAAAAAAAAAAAAAATCGCACATTCTATGTTAGCTGTATTTCCCCATAACTTTGTTTTTGAACTGAAAATTATTAAAAAGTGTAGGTAATATTAACCAAAGTTAGACAAGTGTCCTTGTTTTTGACAAAAAGGCCTCTCAAACTACTCACGTATATGATAATTCTCCACAAATAGGGAATCTATTAATACAACACAACCCAAACTTACATGATCCCTAAACACTTTTTTTGCTCAAAAAAACACTAAAACATGTCAATATTTCAAGAGCATAATTTATAAATACTGCTCTAAGCTTTT